GGACTGTAGTAAAATTACCTGAAATACGGCTTGTCATGAATGCTCGGGTACAATCACAAAGGCTCGTCAACACTCCTGGTTCGTGTTTTTAGCAATAACTGGCAATTATTTCACAATCGCTCTATGCTTGGACCGGTGCTCTACGACATATGAAATGCAAGACAGACCTGAGTATATATCAACTGACCGGACAGAAATGATTTATTAACTCTGTTTAGCGCCCTCAACGATATTGAGTTAAAATCCAATATTCCGACCCCAAAGCTGTTTTGTCCCAATCTGTTTCTTCTCAATGCTGTTTCGTACCAACGCTTTTTCGTCATAGCGTTGTTTCGTCCCATCGCTGATTTGATAGAATATGCCAGATATTAAATGCAGTATGATGTGTTATTTACTGATGGGTGAATCGTTTTTAAAGAAGAGAATAAACACAGCAGAACTATGGAATCATTAATTAATTGATAAATTTGAAAACTGATTTCAAAATACTGTATTCAATAATAATAACAATAATAATAATAATAATAACTTAATTACACTACTAAAAACCTTCAGAGGGTTTTTGTATGGTAAGGAACATAAATACAAAGAAATAAAAACATACAATACATAAGAGATAAAAATAAAATGTTAGTAAAAGAAAAAAAGAAAAAATTAATTACTTTCTGTGGTTTTAAAAATTGTGCTATTTAAGTATTTGGCTAAGGCTATATTATTCTCTATAATCTTTTTAAATATGAAATTCACATCCATTGTGTAAATATTTATTGCACACTCATCAAACAGTTTTTTTCTTTGTTCTATATAGCCAGTACAAAATAGCAGGAAATGTTTTTCATCTCCTAATGCTTTAGTGTTACATTTATTACAGTGTCTATTTTCTAATTCTATTTTGGGCTTTGTTCTTCTACCTAATTCTATTTCTAAGTTGTGGTCACTCAGACGGAATTTTGAAAGCATTTTCCTGAGGCAGAAATTTGAAATGTTTTGCAAATAATTTTCCATATTATAACTTACTTAGAATATAAGTAGTTTGTATGTTCTCAGTTTTGTTACCCTATTTTCATTGGTTTCACTGAAATTTAGTTTTTCTCTCCATCTTTGAATATATATCTCAGATAGTCTGAGTTTTACTTTTTTTAGTATTTGATTCCAATTTTCCATATTGGGATCATTTTTTATTTTAATTAGATCATGTCCCAGTGTAGCATTAATTCCTTACCCAG